ATTATTGCAACAATTCATGCAGCTTTGCGCATAATCTTGTTTGTATACCCTTCCAATGATTTTAAATATATTAAACTCGATTTTATAAAGTTACTTCACATTTTGTACCCTATCTTTCATCCTTCCACATGTGTATCAATGCATCTCAAGAAATTCTGAAACAATGCTATTAATTTCTCATTCCAATTTACGATTGATTAACAGGAACTGTAATCTCTTCTGTGTCATTAAACATGAACATGAAAAATGTATATTCCCGCGGTGTGATAATATTAATACACGATAACCGTAACTTTTTTCAGAAGGACCTGGCGCATTGACACATCCGAATAAAGCACTGCATGTATTTTTTCATTGTTACGTCGATCAACTGGAACTTCAACATTAACATTGTTTTTTATTAATTTCTTTTAATTAGATAAATACTATCTTATTCTCATACTTTGTAATAATATATAAACATCTGGTCCATTAGATTTATGTCAACGTATAACATTTATAGAAAATTTGTAGAATACAGTACATTGATTTATATTTCAATAATGATATGAGTTTACTGCAGCCAGTAACCATCCAATGAGTGCTAGCATTTGTAACTCAGAAGGTATGCTAGACGTATAGACACCTTATCAAATAATATTTCACCTTCTTTGGTTCATCTGTACATCATATATAATAAGGTAAGTAATGAAAACCTGATATTCTTGGGTACATTCCTTTAACTAGTGATACACGCATCGATCGTCTATTCTCATGTCAAAATAATGAAATATATGTGTATATATAATAAGGGGTACTTATGAATTACAACATACAGTTTGTGCTCTATAAAATAATCATGTTTACACTCTTCGAAGTAGTAAAATATCTTTCTTTTACGCGAGCTAGCTTGTTAATAATATAAAAAAGACACATTAGCATAATCATGATACACTGTATTAAAATAACTGTAAAAACTTTGGTAAACAGATCACCACTTTCTTTCCGTGTCTATGGAAAATATGAAACAAAGTAAAATGCTTTCGAATATAAATGTAGACACTTAGATTCTTTCTCTTTCAAATGCTATGCCATGTATCACAAAAGGAAACATTAATGACAGTAACAACTATTTGCATAGAATGCAAGTTTCAAGTATATTAATACACGCAAGAGAAAATCAATACACTTAAACTTGGCATTCTCATCAAGGGTACCGTTATTCTCAAAAGTGAGCATGCAAAAATATAGAGGATTCATTAAATGATATACTATAATTAAGATTATACGTTTCATATACATTCTACTGGAAAAATGTTTCTTCCAATGAAATCACAAATAATTCATTAATTCATGTTGAGCATAATCTCAATTTTGTGAATAACAATACCAGCCATGCACCGTCATTATAGTTCCCTTTTCTTACTTGCATTACATCTTGTCATAGTACCCAATAGAAGTTCGCATAATATTCTTTTAAGCTCAATACATTACAACAGTCGCCCGTGATACCATTTTCTAACATTTCCATTTTTTTTTTTCAAATAGACTGCAAAACAACTCTAAGAATCAATGTACAAATATAGCTAAAAAATATCCGTTAAACACGCGGGAAGTTCTTGTCTACTCGACTTTTGTCTACCTATCACAGAAATATTTTTCTCATGTTCATCTTTCAACCGATATCCACAAACGAAGGAGCCATGATATATGTACACCAGAATCTGTAGCTAAGGAAGATATATCACACTTTCTGTGACGATTAAAATCTTATCCCCTATTTTGGACCAAAAGCAAGAAACCAATCACAGAACCAATCCAGCCAGTCAGCATGTTCGCAATAATACACTTAACATTATAATGGCAGTTTCAGTAACAAACGGAGTAACGATAGTTAAAATTGTATAATAATGATGCCCATGAAACGCAATAAACAGTGATTATATGCGAGTTAAGGGGTCTTCCTGCTTTAGTATTTAAGAAAGCAAGTCACTTTTTAGAAGTACACTTTCAAAAAAAAAATATATAGATATCTTTATCCAATTCTTTATAAGGAAAATTGGAAAAGCTAGTGAAAAATTTATTTGTAGAATGCCCTTTAGTAAATGCATATTTAAATTATTAATGAAAGTTGATATTCGGTCAATCTGAAATGTCTAAGGTTTTAAGTGCAGTTTTGTTAAAATAGATAAAAAATTATGAATGAAATATGAAACGAGTTTGAAAGTTTCAACCCTCTATAGTAGAAAGACCTCTTAACAATATGAATATTCCTTAGAATAATTTATTATGGCACAGTCCTGCGGATTCAGAGGTATGGACGTAGACACAGGGGAAATGAGTAGAGGGTCGAACGACTCACTTCTGTTAGAGGGCAGCCAAAGTAGCGCTATCACCTTCCACTGTCTGTAAACATGTGAAATATCTCTTGTTTTGCTGCTCAGGAGAGCATGCGACGCTAAGAACACTGACAAAATGTACACTTCATGCGTCACATATGAACAAATAAGTAACGAGTCTCATGATGAGCAGAATGATAAAGGGCAAATAATATAAGACTTGCTTCTAATGACAAAGAATTGGAAAATCTATCTACATTCATTGTGAGTGTAAATTTATGGTGTTAAATGATTAAGAAGTTGACATTATTCTTTCTTCTGTACAAGCTGAGAATTAATATTTCAATTTCTTTTAAGAAGATGTTGCATGGCATTCGTATATTTTTATGTTATCTTCTTGTTATTATTAATGCGTTACGCACACATAGATATGTAAACGTTGATGGGAATAAATAAAATGCATTTAGATGAGAACTACTAGTTGTCATGCTTATGCAAACATGTAGAAAGATGCCACAAATGCATAATTTACAATTCATTGGTACAGGATGGAATTTTTACTTCTGTGAGTTGTTAGGGAAGAGCTGAATTTATAATTGGTATCAGTGTACCATAATAATTTTTCTATTTCCAGAGTAGTTAAACTTTTCTTGTCGTTTTTCTGTATTATTGTTCGTAGAATGAGATATTTATAACACGTCCCTCCTTTTGTTCTAATGCCATTAATAAAGAGTGTAATATTTTTGTTAATAAATTATACATATATGTAATCACGACATACACACGCATTCGTCAAACAAGGAAATAGATGTATGATTTCCAACTACTAATAAAATGTATGTAGCGATCGTGCACTCTGTTTCAAGTCAAGCCTCAAATAAAATACAACATTAGTGATTGCTCTATAAGTAAAATATAGAGTACTAACGAAAGAAAGCAATAAATCCATAAGATAGAAGTGTATTTAGGAATAACTCAGTATGAACTCAGTATTAACTCGGTATAACCAGTTAATGCTACCATAAAATAAAACAAAAGAAAACTAAAACCGTCTAATTGCATTACATACTCATATCTATAAAATTTAAATACTGTAATATTCATATGAACAAACATTTGTTAGTAAAATTAACCAGTGTTGGCAAATCTATTAATACTTTCAAAACCATGCACATATTCAAATGTAAATTTGATAAAACAACAAAGGTACTTACATTTGTATTTTGCGGTGCTAGAGTGTGTTTGCTCATCACGATTGTAGTCGTTTTGAGATCTTTGGTACCACCCGGTGATTTTGGCGGTACCATATCGACAGGACTATTCGATTTGCTTACTAATGATTCAGCGGCTCTTACTACGTCTAATACCTGAATAGTGTTACAACATTTAATTAATTAATCATCCGTCAATATATTTCATGTTCTATGTAAATGGCAACTGTCATAAGTATTACTTTTTCAGGTGTAGATTTTTCTCTATGCTCCAACAAAGCACGTTCCCTCTCTTCTTGTTCCCATGCCACAAGCTCGGCCTTCATTTCCTGTTCCTGTCTAAGAGTTGCTGCTTCTTCGTCGTCGCGGTCCAAACTGGATACACTCTGCGACAAAGACTTAGTACCGTCGGCTGCAGGATCTTTTGATTCTTTAGATGTCTTTGATTCTTTAGATTCTCTTCCATCTGATACTGGAAAATGAGGCTCGACCTCGCATTTGTCATATCCTTTACAAACTACTAGTGTAATTGTGTTTCCTGAACACCGAAGTATATTCACTGCTTCTTGGTGTGTCGCGCCTAACAATGACGTACCGTTGACTTCTAACAGTCTCATGCCGACCTACAAATGAAAATAAATAGAAATTTCCACATAGCAAAAACGAACGTCCGAAAGCTTAAACCCATCCATAAGAGTAAATTACCTTCAGTCTTCCATCTCTTTTAGCTGCACCGCCGGAATTAATTTTAGATATAAAAACCCCTTCATCCGTATGATCAAGGGGATTACCCTTTTGTCCTCTGAGACCGCCCTTAATGTGCATACCGAGTTTTTCACCTGGCATTTTTGTAATGACCAATTCCTAAAAGTCAGTAAATGACAAAAATTAGTTCGAAATACATGTCTTACTGCTGAAGTATTACAACTTTTTACAAATTTTATTTCATATCCATCTTTTTACATGTAAACGTTATAAGTTCATGATAAAAAGATTATCATGTTAAGCATTTTTAACGTTGGAACAAGCACTTGAAGCAATTTAAAAGATAATTATTATAAACTTCTATACAGTCTCAGCCTAAGCAAGAAAGCGATTGCTCGTGACTTGGTGCAGAATTTGCTTGCGAGCTTGAGAAGGGAATAAGCAGAATATCGAGAAATAAAAATAATAGGTCAAACAAATTGAGTACTTACTGTCACAGGGATGTACTCTATTTCGACCAGCTTGTAGAACAGATTATACATAATGCCATTAAACGTGGAAATTGATTGAAGTGAAGTGCTAAGTGCCACCGTTTGCAGATAATAAGCACTGATCGATAAGCATAAATATATGTTTTCCGTCAATTTGTTAAATGGAAAGTGCGTAAGAGGCTAACAGATTTTATTATGTCTCATTTCATCTAACTGCGATTGCTGTTCGGTACGCATATTTGAAATATTCACGATACTGTATATTTAATTATTAATTTATTATATTTGAGCATCAGAAGTTGTAAAGGTGTGATATTCATTGTGAGTATGTGGTCAATAAAACAGCACTCTTAAGCGTGTTAGAACTATGAAGCTACGTCATAATTAAGAAGCAGTGATGTTATGCAATGTTAGCAAAAAGTAAATAAACAGTTCATAATATTTTACCTGATAATTGTCTGGTAATGGATCGTGTTGAACGGTGAGCACAATCTGATCTCCTTGTCGCAGCAGTTCCATCACAGCTTCTTGATGAGTGGCTTTTGTTACATCTGTACCATTTACTTTCAATATTCTATCACCCATTCTTAATTTTCCCGACTTTGCAGCTATACCACCAGGAACGACCTAATACATATTAAAAAATAAATAAAAATCTATACCTTCATACATACTTCTTTAATTTTTACATATAGAATATTCCAGTACTTACATGAGATATAAAAATTCCAGGTTCTTTTGCACCAAACGGCGTGCAGGAATGATCCGTACCACCAATGATACTGAACCCTAGAGATCCTTCCTTGACAAGGACTACATCCTAAATAATTAAAGTTTCACTGCATAAGTCACTCAAACAGGTAATTTTCGCCATAAAGTATATTTTGTTTGGTTTTGAAAAAGAAATGTGTGATGGTATTAAGTAAAATGGATTAGCTTGATGAACATTATATAATTGTGAAGTGAACGGAAAAAAAACAATCACGCATGATTTTTTTTATTTTAAGCTTAAATACTATATTTACATGTATATTGGTTCAGCTTGTGAGAAGTGGAAGAAAAGAATATACTTAGTTTGTACAACTTACCTATTTCCATGCCAGAGGATAAGCAACCAGTATCAAACAAACATTCCATATAACCAAATTTCTAACAAATATTTTAAACATGTGTGTGTATC